CTGCCTCTGAGCCAGTTTGGTGTAATGGTTAAGTGCGCAGGACTCTAATCTGGGAGAACGGGGTTTGATTCCCCACTCCTCCACCTGTAGCTGCTGGTGTGACCTTGGGTCAGTCACAAGTTCTCTCAGAGCTATTCTCTCAAGAGCAGTCCTCGAAAGAGCTCTCTCAGCCCCGCCTACCTCACAGGCAATGCTCCCTCTAAGCTGTGGAGTCTTGTGAGCAGAAATTCTACTTTGCGAGCTACTGGCATTAAAGTTGCGAGCGAGCGGTTTGGCTGCTGCATAAATTAGTCTGCTCTGGAGCCATCCTTTCTGAGCGGAGACAAAAAACCCTGTGAGCTAGCTCGTACTAACTCAGCTTAGAGGGAACACTGCTCACAGGGTGTCTTGTTGCGGGGAGAGGAAGGGAAAGGAGATTGTAAGCCACTCTGAGTGAAGGGCGGGGTATAAATCCAATTTCTTCTTCCTCCTCCTCCTCTTCCTTTTCTTCCTTGATCAGATGTGCAATTCCTTGGTTTGACCTGAAGGTGGGGCTACATCCATTCCAGCATAGTGCTCAGCTAGTTTTCAGGCTGGGATTGACCTTGCGGAGTGGCCGTCAAGCTTTTTATCATTCTCTTTCCTTCTGGCCCTCAATGCCACGCAGGTGGGGTCCTTTCCAAGAGCTGAAGTGTTACAGAAGGTGGTTCACAGCAGGGCCCTACAGCATTTCCATCTTGGGATGCCAGCCTCCAAGTGGGACCTGGGGATCCCCTGGAATTCCAGCTGATCTCCAGACTGCGGAGATCAGTTCCCCTGCAGAAACTGGCTGCTTTGGAGGATGGAGTCCATGGCGTTCCCCAGGCTCCACACCCAAATCTCCAGGAGTTTCCCACCCTGGAGCTGGCAACCCCCACCCCCCACTGGTGGCCAAGGGCGACCTGGCAACCCCACTTCCACCCCAGCAATGGCTGCTGCCACCACCCAGGTGAGCTGCCCACACTGTGCCTCAGCCCTCCAGAGGTATGAGGCTAGAAGAAAGAAACCCTCATCGAACTCTGATTGACAAACATCATAAGCTTGAAAGGAGGACTTTGAGCACAAAACCAAACGCAAGCTTCGGGTCAAAACACCCTTTTGAGGACCAAATATGTGAACAGCGAGCCTCAGGGCATGTGCAGAGTCCTTTCTAGCCTGAACTCCCGCTTTGCACTCTTGGCCCCGTTGAGCCCCCCAAATAAGTTTTGTAAATTAGAACCTTTTAATGATGAGTGCCCTGACCCAAATGGGCCAAGCTAGCCCGATCTCGTCAAGTCCTGGAACTTAAGAAGGGTCAGCCCCGGGTTAGTCACACATGAAGTTGCCTTCTACTGAATCAGACTATCGGTCCACCAAGGTCAGTCTTGTCTACTCAGACTGGCAGGTGCTCTCCAGGGTCTCAGGCAGAGGTCTTTCCCATTATCTACTGCCTGGTCCTTTTAATTGGAGGTGCTGGGGACTGGACCTGGGCCCTTCTGTGTTTAGGCCGGGGGCCCTACCACACACCGCCAAAATAAAATTGGATTTATACCCCGCCCTTCACTACCCAGTGTCATAGATGCAACTAACATGAAGTTGAGCAAACTTCAGAGGACGGCGGAAGACCGGAAGGCCTGGCGTGATCTGGTCCATGGGGTCGCGGAGAGTCGGACTCGACTGTGTGACTGAACAACAACAACAACAACTTCACTACCCAAAGGTGTCTCAGAGCGGGTGACAAACTCCTTTCCCTCCCCCTCCCCACAACAGACACCCTGTGAGGCAGGTGGGGCTGAGAGAGCTCTTGACAGAAACTGCTCTTTATCAGAGCTGTGGCCTACCCAAGGTCATCCAGCAGGTGCAAGTGGAGGAGTGGGGAATCAAACCGGGCTCTCCCAGATTAGAGTCCGTCTTTGTCTTTTCTTGATGAAATCTTTGCCTCCAGGGAGTTCTGCAGAGTTCTGCCGTAGGATTCCTAAGCAGTGGTCTTTGAAGCCTCAAAACCTTCTTCAAGTTAAATTTAGTGACAAGACCAAGACTAGGGCAGGAGAAAGGAAGTTGTCGGTAAGATCCATGCAGGAGGACAAAGAATGGGGAAGCCGGCAGGCAGTGGTTAACCAGGGTAGGAGGAAGCGGCCATGTTTCAGCTTACGTGTGCTGTCTTGTGTGTGGGAAGGTGCATTTGTGCATCTCTCTGTTTTATGCCTGTGAGTTGCGTAGGGGAGCATGGAGTCCTGTTCTCTGGGACTTCTAAAACCCAGACTCTGTTGGAAGTTCCAGTGGCGATGTCCCCCGTCTCATGCCTCCAGACTGAGTGGCAAGAGAGGCTAGGCAGCTAGACAGGCACACCAACCTTTCTTCCCGTATCTGCTCTTCTGCCACTGTCCGCTTTGATATGCGGACTGTGATCTCAGGGCCCAGTTTCCCTTTCCTGCTTCTCTCTCTCCCCGAATGAAGACTTGCTCTCTACCGGCACACACCAAGAGAGGGACATGCGGTCCTCTCTTGGCACCAATGAGGCACATGGTCCTCTCGCCATCCGCCTCCATCCTTGAGCTAGTACGTCAGTAAGCTATCAATCTCTGCTCTTTCCTATCCAAAGTGTACCTCTCAAATAAAGAGAGAAGCAATGGTATTCCCAGTAGTCATGTATGGCTGCAAGAGTTGGACTATAAGGAAGGCCGAGCGCCGAAGAATAGATTCTTTTGAACTATGCTACTGGAGAAGACTCTTGACAGTCCCTTGGACTGCAAGGAGATCGAATCAGTCAACCCTCAAAGAAATCAACCCTGACTGTTCCCTGGAAGGCCAGATAATGAAACTGAAGCTCAAATACTTTGGCCACCCAATGAGAAGGGAGCCCTCACTGGAGAAGACCCTGATGCTGGGAAAGATTGAAGGTCAAAGAAGACGGGGACGGCAAAGGATGAGATGGTTAGACAGTGTCATAGATGCAACAAACATGAAATTGAGCAAACTTCAGAGGACGGTGGAATACAGGAGGGCTTGGCGTGATCTTGTCGATGGGGTCGCGAAGAGTCGGACTCGACTGTGCGACTGAACAACAAAAATTTCCCTTCTAAACTTCCAGTGTGGCTCTGTGTAGCTTTGTAAGCTGAGTAACCTGGTAAAGTGGTGCTCCTGCGTTTGTTTAAGCACTCTGCTAACTAATGGTGACTGGAGTAACCACACCAGTTAACCTCAATAAAGTCTACATGCTCTTCCTTTTATTTCTGCTGTGGGGAAGTAAGATTCGAGCCCAAGAGCACCTAAAGTCCAAAATTCCCAAGGTGTGAACTTTGGAGAGTCCAAGCCCCCCTCTGTCAGATAGCAGATATCCAGCAGAGGGAGTGTTGACCCAGAAAATCTTGTTGGACTTCAGGTGTTACCAGGTTCAGTTCTTGCTCTTCGGCTGCCGACCGAAATGGCTGCCTACCCGAAACGGTCTTTGAAAGCTTTCCTTTCTGAAGTCGCATCTGAAGACCTCTCTTGCCCACATTTGTAAGGAGCTGATGGACAACATGTTGGAAGTGGAGTTAACTGGTGCAGTTAGTCCAGTTCC